TTTGAATGGTCAAACACTAGGGTTTCATCCAGAAACTTTTAAGTGAGAACCACCTTGTACAGCATAGTAAGCACCACATGAAAGTACTGCTCAATAACTTTCATTTAATGCCCACACTAGGGTTTCATCCAAACACTTAAAAGTCAAAACCACATACACAGCACAAACGGAAAGAGGATTAATCATCAAACATGTTAGTCTCGAGGTTTACTACACAATTCAAAGTAAATATCACTTCTTATTAACCTGTGCTACAAGCTCTGTGTGATTCTTGTCAAACATTCTGTGAAGTGCTTCACATGCCACACCCACGACATCTGGCCTCGCTTCCATTCCCTTGATCATGTGACTGATACAGTCGCTGACCTGCGCCATGCTTCGAACACAGATCTGAAAAGGGCCGTTTCCGAGCGAGAGAAATCATACAACGAATAAATCAAAATCTTAGTTCCACTATATAAGAAATGCAAAAATGTAATTTAAATGGCTTTCTTATTTTTCCACAGATGACATCCCCTTTTTAAAAATTAATCGCTCTTTCAATAATCTGATTTGACTATTTAATACAACATAGCTTTTTCAAGGTAAACTTTTTTCAGAATACTGACAATATTTCTCTCTTGAAAAGGGCCAAATTACGCTTTTTCAAGTGACGCGGACACAAACAACCTTGACTCGACGCATCGAAAAAATTTACACTACATTTTCTACGTTCGTGGTTCGTGATATATATGAATCTTTTAGTCTTACATATCCATTTACAAATAAAGCTGCGTTTTAAATTTCTCCGGCAATGTGGATGGGGCCTTAGTTTATTTCTACATGGGTGAAATGTGACGTTCCCTGCATGCAATTATGTACATCGCAAAAAAGCGACGTTGTTTTAAAATATCGTTGCATAACTAAATTTCCTTTGTGAGGTCTGGATTAAACTCCATCCCCTAATGGTGTGTCTTACCTCGTTAGCCGAGAGCAAGTGAACCACTTGCACAGCGGATTTCACGACTGCATTGTTTGTAGAACCCATGCTCTTT